ACTCCCTGACATTACTCTTCCCCTGTTTTCTCTCCTTGCTGTTGTAATCAGGATGAAGTCTCAACACCTGAACTTTGTGGTGTTTGAACTTCACTCCATGAGTAGCTAAACTCATTGCTAGGGTCTTATCCCTCTACTTTATATAATTATGTTTTGATTCATGCTCTTGGATGATATTTGTATACTTAGTTCTAGAGTTTAAATTATCATTTTAGGTTGAACAGACCATTCAAACTAATTGTGCATGCATGGGGGAATCTCAGAAGGGTAAATTTCACTTAGAACGTCTACAATTAACCGGTGACGAGGGGGTAACAGCCCAAGATTTCAAACAACAATGGAAGTTAGTTATTTGGCATGGGGCAATCATAAGGGCTTAATATCTTGATGGCTTAGTTATAATTTCGAGTCGACAACAAAAGTTAATTTACTGGTTACTATTAGGACTACTGTCTGGAACAATCGGAAGTAACCTTATAGTGTTTATGTGCCTGATTGAATACAGTTTCATACCACATAGAGAGCTAAAGGAATCAATACATATGCATATAGAGTAGAGTGGAGGACGACCCTAGACTACCATCACTTTGTCAAGTCACTTACTCACTTGCCAATCTGCTATTTTTACTTCTATTTTGTGGTTTGATACTAGATCCCAATTTTCATTAAGTGTTTTCCCTCTCTATGGGATCTACCCTTCTTATCACTTGCTACAAGTTTTAGGTAGGTTTATTTTGGTGGTCTTGACACCCATCAATGGTAAAAGACTTAATTACCCTTAATGAAATAACCCCTCGAGCCGGTCAAACATGGACTTTCTTAAACCCTAATTTATTTAACTTTAAGTAAATAGAATTTTATCTATTTATGAACTCAATAAAATTGTAAATATTTAAAATAGCTTCCTGCGCAGCTCTCTCTCTCTCTCTTTTTGGCGGACACGGCTTCAATTTGAATCTTCAGGCTCCAATGGTGTCTTCTACACATTTGAATGTTTATCTTCGATGTCTTCATAACGCTTATTCTTTGGAACGAACTCACTAGCATCGATCTCAACAACATCACTTGAACTTTCATCACTTGAATCATTGCAATTGTTACACTTGACTCTTTCGATACTTGATCTTGATTATCGCCCAGTGAAAATTGGGTTTACGGACCGGATTGGTCTGGATTGGCTCTAATCAGAGTGCATTTGTATCCAATAGACTCATCCTTCATAAGGTTTTATGTACACAAGATTTGATAAAAATGTATGGCAGGAAAAATGTTAGTGGCAGGTGCTTAATGAAGATCGATATCCGAAAGGTGTGTGATTCAGTGGAAAGGAGCATTCTGAAAGAAATAATAGATAGGTATGATTTCTTAACTCTTTTTCTCAGCTAGGGGTGTTCACGGACCGGATTGGTCCGGATTGCTATTAACCCGTAACCAAACGGTTACAGTTTTTAAAATTTTCAAACCGTAACCGGGCGGGATTGATGCTTAAACCCGACCAATCCAATCCGTTTTGAACGGTTTGGTTTGGGCGGTTTGGGCTTCTAACTGGGCTTTTTCCGTATTTGCGCCATAAATTAAACATTTTTTGTTATTAGACCTTTTTTTGGCCTTTTTTGGGGGGCTTTTTTTGGGCATTTCCTAAGTTTTTTTTGGGCTTTTTTAAAATGATATCTAGGTTGGTTTAAGGGGAAAAATGGGAGAAAAAAAAATTTTAGTGAATAAGGGGACTTGAATACAGGACCTCCCATGAATATAAGAGTACGGAGAATTACATTGCAAATGAGACAACTTAACATTTTCGTTATAAATAATCATCCGCAGATATATATACAAAAACTATTATATTATTATTTAATAATATATATATATATATATATATATACGGTCCGATCCGGTTTGACAGTGTTAAACCGTAATATGGATCGGTATGACCGGTTTTCAATTTTCAAATTTACCGGTTTCAAAATTCAATTAAAAACCGCTCGCTAATCCGAACTGGTGACCGGTTTGGCTGATTCTACCGGTTTGAGCCAAACCATGAACACCCCTATTCTCAGCTAATTCTAGAATGTGTTAGAAATACTTCATATTCAATATGTTTGAATGGGGATAACTATGGGTACTTTGAAGGCCAGAGAGGGTTGAGACAGGGAGATCCCATGTCTCCCTTACTGTTTGTTTTGGTAATGGAGTATCTTACTAGATTAATGAAGGTAGCTTTAGCTTCAGAAGATAGAAGGTTCCAATTTCATCCTCAGTGTAAAGGCATGCAATTAACAAACATATGCTTTGCAGATGATATCATGATCTTCTGCAAAGCTGATATATGTACAATCAGCAAGACAGTTGAAGTACTTAATAATTTCTCTGATGTTATTGGCCTGGTTGTTAACCATGCTAAATCTAAGGTTTATTGTGGTAGTGTGACAGAGGATTTGAAGAAGCAAATATGTGAGATCACAGATTTCAGACCTAGTAAGTTCCCCATGAAGTATCTGGGGATTCCACTTTCTCCAACAAAATGGAATCAGCTAGATTGTGACTGGCTAGTATGGAAAATTGCTGCTAAAATTAAGTGTTTGAGTTCAAAGATGCTTAATTACTCAGGAAGAATACAGTTAGTAAATTCTGTTTTGATGACTATGAGTAATTATTGGACTTCAATGTTTGTTCTTCCACACAATGTGAAACAACAAATCAGCAGATTATGCAAATGCTTCTTATGGGGTGTGAAGGATCAAGGAAGAAGCATTTCTCTGGTCAGTTGGGATCAGGTCTGCCAGGAAAAGAAAAAAGGGAGGACTAAATATAAAGGATCTTGAGATTTGGAATGAAGTTGTAATGACAAAACAAGTGTGGAGCATATCAAAGAAAAAGGACAACTTCTGGATCAGGTGGGTGCATGGGCAATATATAAAAGGTAAAGACTTTTGGCAAATGAACCCAAATCACAGATCCAGCTGGCATTGGAGAAGAATTTTAAAGGTGGAGGAGAAAGTAAAAGAGGAGTTTGAAGGGCATAAATGGAAGCACACTACTTCTGAAAAATATACATTGACATCAGGATACAATTGGCTTATTGGATCTGCTGATGAATTACCTGTTGTTGCTTGCATTTGATCAAAGTACAATGTTCCTAAACATTCTTTTATACTGTCTTTATTTAGGAAGAATAGGTTGCTTATGAAAGATAGACTGGCTTGTATGAATCTGCTAAGAACATCTCCAATAAAAACACCAAAACACTGTATTTGGTGTTTTGGTGTAAAATTTGTACTCTAAGATACCAAATCAGTGCACTATTTTGGTGCAATGAATAAGGTTACATAAAATTTGGTGTAAACTACCAATTACACTATCTTTGCGCACTATTTTTTTATTTTGAGAAAAAACACAATTTGCTATATTTTCAGACTTGAAAAAATAAATTATATTATGAAAGTAATATCATATTATATGGTTTTTTGAGATCTTCAAAATAAGACCCATATTCATTAACTTTTATTTTTTTAAAAAAATTATTTTTGATTACCATCATTTTTTTTTGTTTCGGATATTGGCTAGATATAATTAAAATCACTACATTATAAAAACTTGTGACACAAATATGAATTAACATAATTCAATGAAAATGCATTGTAAAAAATTTTATTTTCACACCAAGTTTGGTGCATCAAGGTTGGAGTGTAAAGAAATTTGGAGCAAAAAGATATTAAGAATATTCCATTTCAACACTAAATTCAGTGTAAAATATAGTGTAATGATTGGAGATGCCCTAAGAGATACACAAGATTCTGCTTTGTGTCAGAATATGCAAGAAACCTCAAATCATTTATTTTTTTAGTGTGTTTACGCTTCTGCATTGTTAAAAAATGTAACGGTATGGCTGGGAATACATGGATTAACAACTGAGAAAAATCAGTGGAGGATGCAAATTTTGACTACATAGAAGAATTCAAAGTTGAGAAGACAGATCCTATTTGCTACCTTAGTTGCTGTGGTATACCATATATGAATAGAGCGAAATGGAAGAATTTTTGCTGGAAAAAGTAAACCTGTGGATATGTTGTTGAAGGAAATTAAGCAGGAAGTAAGGTGGAGGGTGGAATACTTAGGGAATAGGAAAACAGAAACTGCATTAAGAATTTTGGCAAGTTTATTTCATCAGTCATGTATATATAGCAGTAGAAAAATGTAAAGGTTAGCAAGGTATGTAATAGAAGTAGAGTTGTTTTTGGGTTGTAAATATGCAGCACACCGCCCATCAATGAAATATCTACATGCTGACCAAAAAAATTATATATGACATCATTCGGTTTTTTATCTCAACCTAACGGGAGTGATCTGGTGATCCAATAACATCACCACTTCATCTTTCGCTCCGGGTCTAACAACATTGGTGCAATCCAATGGTAGGTTACAAAAGATTATAGTATTTAAATTTTCACCCAAAAAAACTTTTTAAACAAAATTTCAAATTTAAAACAAAAACAAAAGCCAAAATATTGTCTATACGGACTCTATTTTTCCAGTATCTTTCCTTATTCTTTATTTTCTTTTTTGCTTCTCCTTCTAACTTTTCCTCTCTTTTGAATAACATTTCACTTCTTCTATTTGTTATTTTTATAGTAAAGTGAAAGAAAAAATTATTGGAGTATCTCAAATTCAAACTGGCCTAATTCAAAACCTCTTTTTTCTTCCTTTTTTGTAAAAAAGTACCTTGTATTAAATTTTATAGGTAACATAACAAACCGAAGGCTTGTTGTTGCCATTCTATTGACTAGATTTTTAGACGCTTGCTTCCCTAATTTCAGTATTTGGTACACAATGTAAAAGTCAAGTGATGTCCTCTCCTTTTTCTTTTTTTCTTTTTTCTTTTTTAAAAGAAATCCAAGACGGTACTTGGGAACGAGCCTAATTTTATTTTAATTTAAAAAATAAGAGTACATAAGGCATTGTTTAACAAGTGAGTATTCAGAACTTATTTCAAAACCGCTTTACTTCATCTTTGAAAGTCTCAACTGGTCCGTCCGGTCCGGTCCAACCGGACTGGTCCTCTGCTGGGGCCATCTCAAATTTGCATTATCCAAAAAACCCACCAAGAATCCATGCACACACACTCATATCCACATAGATATCAATATTGAACAAGGTTTAAACTTTGTATTGAAGCTCAAATTCCGTCTCAATTTCCAAATCACAGAATGGCTTGTCCACTGAGCCCCTGTTCTTCATCTTCTTCTAAATTCTCCGGATCAGCATTCAATACTTACCGTACTTCACCATATTTTTATCGACAATTCCATCTCATTTCCAATGGAATCCAACATTTTCCTGAAAGGGTATCGAAGATTAGTTGCGGGATTTATCCAAGAAACCATTTTGAGCTCAACTCCTCAAATGGGTACCCACTAAATGCGGTTTCTGTTCAAAACGGTAAGGTCCGAATTTTGGTCTTCTTGGCAGCCTATGTATGCTAGGAAAGATTGTAGTTGTTTTAAATGATTGATGAAGTCGTTTGTGTGGCGTTTTGATTAAATTGATAGCTTTATGAGACCCATGAAAATGAAGAAAATTAAATTTGGAAGTCTGTTGTTAGGAAGCCTCTTTCCCAACTTTTCTTTGTGTTTGAAGATATCTGGTTCAGTGTGCTGCAATTGGAATTAAACTGAGGAAATGGTGACTTTTAATTTGCGGAATTGCAGATTTGATGTGAAAAGTTCTATTCCAGAAATTTGATTAGACAAGAAGTCATATACTCTGCAACTCTGGAACATACCGAGTTAACAGATTTTTTCTTCTTCCTTGAGTCTTTGAATCCCTTTTTGGCGGCTAAACCTATGTAGTGGCTCCCATACTATTGCATATTTTATGTTGTGCATTGGTTTTACCCTATAGGTGATGGGAATTCGTTGCAGTTTATTTCTAATGCTATTGATCAAGTCTGGATTTTGCTTATTTGATCTTGGTTTGTTTAAGAACTAAACCAAAAGACTTACAACATTTAGATGGTTTCACGGTCCTTGCTTTGTTTATTTTGTGTCATTCTTTCGGTGTATATGAAAAAAATGAAATTTTTTGATAAGGTTCAATGTCAAAGCCTTTAGCAGAAGAAACTCTTACCTCGGGGTCTACAGCAGAGGAGTCCACTCTTAGCATAACTGTTGTTGGCGCCTCCGGTGATCTTGCGAAGAAGAAGATTTTTCCTGCATTGTTTGCTCTATTTTATGAAGATTTTCTGCCTGAGGTCAAGTTGCTACTTTTTAATCATTTTGTTGGATGTGTTTTTCCTTGCACATCTAATTTTTATCAGTAATAGATAAAATTTAGATAGTGAACACATTTTTTATGGGCTTGGTAGTATTGAATCTGTTTGGTTGACTTGAATTGCAGAACTTTGTTATTTTTGGTTATGCTCGCAGTGAAATGAATGATGAGCAGCTGAGAAATATTATTAGCCGAACCTTAACTTGTAGAATTGATCAGAGGTGAGACTCTTTCATGAATGATCGCTGTCCAGGTGAATGGAATTTCAGTTGACAATTTATGTGAATGGGAGCTTGCAGAGAAAATTGTGCAGACAAAATGGAACAATTTCTTAAAAGATGCTATTATCATTCGGGTCAATATAATTCTGAAGAACACTTTGCAGAATTGGACTCGAAGCTCAAAGAAAAAGAGGTGATGCTTTCTTCCCCGCTCCAGTTCTGTTAATGTTTAATAGTTTGTTCTATGCGAATTGATTCACTCAGAAACTTGAAAATTTATCCTTTCTTTGGAGCAATGCTACATATTTTTGACAAACATGGATACATTTTGTGGTAAATGTACAATGTTACTGCATGAATTTCAGAAACCGAACTTCAACAAGAAATCGGGAGTGGTAGAAAATTTTGTATTTATGGATATTGTATGAATCATACTAAGTTTGGTTTCCAATCCTTTTACACTTAAAAACAGTAACTTTTTGTGCTTAAACCCAGGTGTCCTTTTTTTAATTATTTTTTTACCATGATGTTTGGATTTGAAGTGGGAGTCTTTCCATTATATCTCATAGTTGCATAATGTGTTCCTATAAAGGATATCTTAACGTCATAAAGCTAATCCTTGGTTCTAGCTGAAAGTCAAACAGCTCCTTGCTGTAACCCAAAAAAATATGCAATTGCACGTGATGCATAGGAAATGGATAGATTATGTACATAGAAGCCGCAAGGGTAATGGCAAACATGAACTTAATCTCCTAGTTTTGGTATTTGTGGTCGATTAGTGGACAGTAAGGTAAAATTATGTTCGGTCATCACAACATGCACAAGAATTTGATGATATTGCAGCTCTGGCTGCTACCTTGCACAAGAATTTAATGATATTGCAGCTCTGGCTGCTACCTTGATGCGGCTCCAATTTTTTTTCTTCAACTTATGATATCATGCATTTTCAGAGTACATTGTGCTGATATAATTGCAGCTCTGGCTGCTACCTTGATGCGGCTCCAATTTTTTTTTCTTCAACTTATGATATCATGCATTTTCAGCGTACATTGTGCTGATATCATTACTGAGGAACTTGCTGATTCAATGTACAAAGGTTGATTAAAAAAACCTAAGAAGCCAATTTAAAGAGAAGCCAACTCAATATTTGATTTGTCATGTTTTCCCTTTATTTAATGTGTGTACCTGTGCAATGGTAGCTTGGCAGTCCCGTTTGTGCATATAGTACCAAAAGATCCAATTCTTTTCTCTCTTCACCAGAGTTTGTTTATTCTTTTGACCTTGATTGAGCTCTTCTCACTCTGCACTGTTGAGTAGGAAAGTCCAATGCAATCAGCAGTGATTAGGTTTACATATGAGTTCAATCTGGGAGTTCTCTGACGGGGATTCATGTGTATGTATAATGACTTGCTGAAAGTATTTCGAGTCATTTTGACAATTAATTCAGTTTGTTTTCTCCGGATGCTTTTCTTCTCCTGTCATCTTGTAACTGGAGACTTCATACATTTAACACCTCGCTGTTCCAATCCCCTCACTTCATACTTGGAAGATCATTCCCTTTACCCCCCAGGAAAAAGAAACAAATTTGAGAAATATACTAAATGGAGTAATAGAATGTAACTATTTTATATTGTCGTAGTTCAGGTGTCTAAATAGTGTTTTTCTTTGCTTGTGTTTTAATAGTTTGATATTGATGATAATATAATTCATTTCTGCAGGGTGCTAGTTCAAATAGATTGTTTTATTTGTCAATACCTCCAAACATATTTGTGGATGTTGTCAAATGTGCTGGAACAAGAGCATCTTCAACTAGTGGATGGACAAGGGTCATTGTGGAGAAGCCTTTTGGTCGTGATTCTGAGTCATCTAGAGAGCTGACCAGATCTCTAAAGAAATATTTGTCTGAGGATCAAATATTCAGGTAGCCTTTTTCATGCATATTTGCTGTAAGAATTAAATGATGAGCATCTCTTGATAGTGTAGTTCTGTTCATGTTATTCAGAATCGACCATTACTTGGGGAAGGAGCTCGTTGAGAATCTGTCAGTGCTTCGGTTTTCAAATCTGGTTTTTGAGCCCCTTTGGTCAAGAAATTACATACGAAATGTGCAGTTTATATTCTCTGAAAACTTTGGTACAGAAGGACGTGGAGGGTAATTTTGGACTTGCATTTTCTTTCTGTAAATGTTATTTAAGCATATTGCTCCTTGCAAAGAGAATGATAATTACAAAGCTTTGTTTCCAGATACTTCGACAGCTATGGAATCATACGAGACATTATGCAAAATCATTTACTGCAAATTTTAGCATTGTTTGCAATGGAAACACCAGTGAGTTTGGATGCCGAGGATATACGAAATGAAAAGGTATAGGATTCAAGGAAACCAGACCAATGGTATCATTTCACCATCTGGTAGAGTTCCAATCTCTTGTATGCATACGAACATTAAAGTGACTAAAATTTCTTTCATAAAATGTGTCTAAAGCTAAATATCTTTTAAAGAAAGATCATTTAAAAAGTCCATCCTTAGCAAAACATGATTGTATTCGTTGATGAGTGCTACATTGGAATCAGGTCAAGGTTTTGAAATCTATGAGGCCCTTGCAACTTGAAGATGTGATTATTGGGCAGTACAAAGGCCATACAGAAGGAAGTATATCCCATCCTGGATATACAGATGATCCAACTGTGCCAAAAGGCAGTATTACTCCCACATTTGCTGCTGCTGCACTCTTCATTAACAATGCTCGCTGGGATGGAGTTCCATTCCTCATGAAGGCAGGCAAAGCTCTTCATACTAAAAAGTTAGTAAATCTTCTCTATTCTAAATTGATTCATTATGTTCTAGTATGCAATTGGATAATTAAGGCTCTTGATTTTTTTGACAATTACAAAACGCACAGAGCTGAGATACGTGTTCAGTTCAGACATGTTCCGGGTAACTTGTATAGACGAAACTTTGGAACTGATCTGGATAAGGCTACAAACGAGCTAGTGCTTCGGTTACAACCAGATGAAGCCATATTTTTAAAGATAAATAACAAGGTCCCTGGACTTGGTATGAGACTGGACCGCAGTGATCTTAATCTTCTCTACAGTGCTAGGTAAGGAAGCGAGTATGCATTTTCTTTCTCTTTCTTTCTTTATGCCATAATTGTATGCATAAACTTGATAATTGCACAATTTCAGCTACAAGTATTAGGAGCTGCAATAGTTATCAGCGCAAGCTGAACTAATTATCCTCTAGGAGGGGTCAAGGTTTCTAATTTTCTTTTTCGAACCAAAAATTAAATGGCAATTTTAAAAGTGTGCTAGACTAAAAGTCTGCTCTCTTAAGCATTACAGTGCCCATCAAATTTCTAGAAAGGTAAAAATTATATGCAGATTGGCATTCTATTACTCTAACTGGCTACTCCATAGGTGACCAATGTACAATAAGATTGGACTCCAGTTTCCATCCTTGTGGGAATGGATGGGTGAGTATAACGGAAAGCTATAGAGTTTATTTACATTGAAATATTACTGAATTCATGCTTACATTGTTTTGTATTACCTTTTCTTATTGCACCAAGTTTCTCTCACAATGGAGCATAATTTCTGCCAAATTTTGTTGTTCATGTGTTGAAGTCATGCTACAGCTAAAATGTTTAGTCTGTATGTCAATTTAATTGCCCATCTGAATTCCTCCTATACCTTGCTGATGTTTTCTTTTGAAACGCTTTGCCCATCTGAATTCCACATATCTCGTACTGATGTTTTCTTTTGGAAAAATTTGGTGATCTAGAATTGCAAAAGAAATTCAAACTGTAATTTAGTAGTTGACTGGCACTAGTTTTTCCATCAACACCACATTAAAAATTGGATTACAAGTAGTCTAAAAACACTAAAATCCACTCCATATTTGTCTTTATGATCAGGTATCGGAAGGAAATCCCAGATGCCTATGAAAGACTCTTGCTAGACGCAATCGAAGGAGAACGACGATTATTTATCAGAAGTGATGAACTTGATGCAGCATGGTCTCTTTTTTCTCCAGTACTAAGAGAGCTTGAAGAGAAGAAGATTGCTCCTGAGCTTTACCCCTATGGAAGCAGGGGACCTGTTGGAGCTCATTATCTTGCTGCGAAACATAATGTCAGATGGGGTGATCTTTCTGGTGAGGATTAGCATTATTTATGCATTGGCACGGGCAAAGAATCTTATTTGTTGTTGTGAAACAGTAATAATTTTCATTGGGATGATTGAAACAGGCAAAAAACAAAAAAAAAAGAAAAAAAAAAGGCAGTATTTGGGATGATTGACAGTAATTTTCATTGTTTGTAGTACAAAGTTATCTTAAAGTTTAACTCACTGTGATTAAAAAGAATTTTGAAAGCCTATGGACATGGGCAACAATTAACAAGCCAACAACCACTATCTAAAATCACACGAGACACTATTTAAGTAGTGATGAATGCCCAGAGCTGAACTACTATGGCAAAATTTCAAATCCATAAAGCGAAACTTATCCTCACAAAAAAAAATAATAAATTAAAATCTAAGAAATGATTTGTTCATTTTTTTTTCCCGAATAAAAGACACACTTTCATTAATTTTTTAGTACTTGGTCAATTTTCAGAATTCCGATTCTTCAGTAGTTTACTAATTATTCTTTTCGTATGACAAGAATATTGAATTTAATTACACCTCTCTTTGTTTTCATCTTGTAGAAGTTGCCATAAATTTCGTTGATAAAAATTGATATTTACATTTTTTAGTAAGAGGAAATCAAAAGGAAAGATGAAATGATGTAAATTAGTTACTCCCCGTTCCCAAATTGTTGTTTTGGGTTTTTATTTTTACACAAATTAAATTAAAAATAAAAATTTAAGCAGGACAATAATTTTGAAACGGAGGGAATTTTATCATAGTTATAGTTCACACCTTTCTTTTAGGGCTTGACTTATTCTTTCCCCTGTGCATTCAAATATTGTCTTTTACATGGATGTTCGAGCAATACGTGTGATCGTGTCTTATGTATTCGTAAAATTCGTCACTCACCTGAAGCGTCCACACAGCAAGTAAACAGCCAACCTCAAATTCAATTGGAATGTAATTGAAAACAGTTTTGGCGCTAAACTCAGTTTCAGAAACTAAGTTCCAATAGTTACTTCAAGTTACTACTCCCCCTTTCCGAAATAATTATCCAATAAAAATCCAGACTGAACAATCATTTCAGAATGAAAGTTGTATATAGTAATCCAAACTTGACACCCAAGCGGAAGCGAATTCCGAAGTTGTAAGCTCACTGAAATCAGTGATAGGTCTTGAAGTTTCATATTATTTATGGGTATTTGTATAACATTTTGGATTATATTGTGCACTTATATTGTGTATTTTGATGTTTTTGGTTCTTCGGAGTGATTGGAGCTGAGATGGAGAAAAATGTTCCATAAACACACATTTTTGGAGCATTTTGAAAAGGAAGCACAAAAGGGGAGCAATGACATCACATTCTCGTGTGGGCACATGAATCTCAATCGAAATTGATCTTTAGAGAAGAAATTCCAACATTGATGCTGCATTTCCGTTTGGCCAAACAGCAATAGGGACTAAACTGAAAAAGTGAAGAAGTTTTGGGTCAAAATGTAATTTTTTCAAACTTGAGGAACCAATATACAAATCTCGAAAAAGTTAATTTGCAGTTGCGAAATTCTGAAAGCTGCTGGCGGCTGACCTACTTTTTGGCATATAAATTGATTTTATTCTTTTCTGGAAGAGGGGGCTGAACGTGAGAAGAAGAAGAGGAGGCTGGAGTGGTCTTAAGCCGCCAATCTAGCCCTTTTGGGCGTTATTCTTTCCTATTCTCTATAGTTTTATTTCAGTAAGGCTTTATTATGTGTTACTAAATTACTTTTCCAGTTGAAAGATATTGAAACCTTGGTTCTTAATAGTTTTGAGATCTAAATGTTTTTCATTTCTCAATTCTTTGTAAGTATTTGCTTGTTCTTTTAAATGATTGGTATAAAGATTTTGGATTCATGAATAGCTGGTAGCATTCATTATTTCATGATAGTTAACAACAATAAGGCAGCAAGGTTTGTTGTTTTAAAAGGGACTGATATAATTAAATTACTTGGTAAGTGATTTTGTTATGTTATAAGAACAATTAATCTGGTTTTTTTTATTAAACAAGGTTTGTTTCATAGGAATCAGAATTGGGTCTTTGTACTTAATGCAGTCGTTTTCTTAATCTTAGGAGGTTCCATGATTGATTTTCGACTAGTGTGTTTAATGAAGGTTTTCTTAATCACTAAACTTAATTCAAGATTGGGTTGTTAGGAGGTTCCAATAACGAAAACTAATTTGCCTATAAGTGATTGAGCATATCATTGCATCTATGATCAATTGTCTAGACCAAGGTGGATATAAAATCTTTTGACTAGAAACTTTCTCATAATTTGCTTTCATTTTATAACTATCATTTGAATTTTATTTTAACTACATTTTAGTTTTAAAAACTCAAAACCCTCCTTTCGGTTACTTATTTGAAAGAAACGAATCCACCATTCCTTGAGGAGACGACTTTGCTTTCCTATGCTACTAGTTTGAAAGTAGATTAAATTATTTGTTGGTTTGACACCCCACCAAAATGGCGCCGTTGCTGGGGAACGGTGTACATTGATTTGTTTCTTTTATTTATTTATTTTTTGTTCTATTTTTTTTTCTACCATGGATGCATTTGGACAGCAGTTTTGGGACCAACGCGATGGCTTTAATTGGAGTGCCAAAGAGGTACACTTTTCATCTACTGAACAAAAATTAGATGAACTAACCTCTCTTGTGACAAGTTTGGCTGCATGTCAATCGCAACAATTGCAAAGGTGTGGTGTTTGTTTTATGATTGGTCATACAGGAGATTTTTGTCCAAGGTTTCTATACTACCAGCGAAAACGAGTGAATGCCATAAGAGAATCTTTGAGATCCCTACAAACATGCTATGAATCTAATTCATACAGTTATGATCCAAGTTGGCAAGGATATTCAGATTGCAACCATGACTACTCCTACGACTATTACTCACCACCACCACCACCACAAGCATGTCAACCTCCAGAAGTGTCACCAAACTCAGGTATGTATCTAGAAGATATGGTTATGAAATTGTCCACTGACATAGAAAAATTTTGTCAGGAAAGACGTGCTAGCAGGGAAAATCTGGATAGACAAATATCTGAGACGGTTAGAAGAATGAATGAAGAGACTATCCAAAATAGTGAGTTAAAAACACCAAGTGAAGAAGACTTTGAGCCATGGAATTCAGAGGACGAAGGAGTAATGGAAGATGAAGAAGAGTCTACGGAAGTTGCAAATGAGGTAATTGATAATTTTCCTTTATCTAGTTTGACTGATTCAGTTGTCACTCCTTTTTATGATATGTTAGAAGAACCAGAAGAAGAAGAGAATGAACAAGATGCTATAGATACATCTTCCAATGGAGAGTTTCATGTTCGTCTTTCGGAGGAATTTGACGAGTTCCCTTGTGATGATGAATTTGAAGAGGAGTTGTGCACCAAAATTAATGAATCTACACTCCAAGATAATGAGGTAATTTTAGTGGGAGGACATCTCTTTGATATAGTCCAACCGAAATTACTTTTCAAATGCCATGATACAGGTATACCTATTCCTTCATGTACTTTTAGACATGTTAAAAGTGATAAATTTATCATAGATTTTGGAGTTGGTGTTATTATCATTCCTCAGTCTGTGTTTAAGTTCTTGAAACTTGTGTCATTGAATGAAACTGATGAAGTTATAAAACTTGTTGATGAGTCTTGTGCTAGTCTTGTGTGTGCTGAAGATGGTTTATCTGTCCAATGTGGTGAAAATATTTTTTCTACTAATTTTGATGCGATTAATGTGAAAGAAAATTTAGTCTTAAACTCAAGTCCATGATTCTTAGGTAGATCATTTCGAAAAACTGCTAGGATAAAAATGATAAATGGAGTCACATCATTATCAAAGGAATATGTGAATTTGAATGTTAAAAGTGCTCCACGAGTTGATTTTTCTAGTAGTTATATTTTCGAATTTGTGTCTGAAATTTGTGAGAAATGGCAATCTCAAAAATTTGAGTTAACACATGTACCTATGCATATAGAGTTTCCATATAGACATTTATCTAGACCTCCTGAATTAGGGATAAAGATGAATGTAATTCTAAAATTTCTTGATGATTGTGGAATGAATTTAATGCATGATGTCATGGTATACATGTGGAGAAAGTGTGGTGCTTTTAAAGAAACATTTAGAGGAGATCACTTTCCACCATCTTGTGTTGATTTAAAGTGTGCAGATAAATTTGGAACTTCCTACTCTGGTTTTGTTGAGATTTTTATAGGATTTTCACAAGTTTCAGTTATGTGTGGAGCTTGCAAGTTTCCACCGTGATGCATCAAAACTGTGTCTAGCCCAAGACATTAAAGAATGGCGCTTGTTGGGAGGCAACCCAATAGTTTGATTTTTGTTATTTGTTTTCTTGAATAAATCAGTTGGGTGGTTAAGTTTTTTTGTTCCTGATGATCTTGAGAGCTATGATTTCTTGATTTTTGTGGTTTTTCTTAATCATTTGATTGGCGTAGTGTTAGTTTATTTTAATGGTTTGTTCAAGTGTGGCAGCTTGATTTTAATGAGTATTTTTATGGTTGGTCAACCCATGTGCGAATGCATCAAAAGCTGTGGACTTTTACTCACACCAAAATTCGTTTCACCACTGCAAAATCCAAAGGAAGTACCGTTTCTTTTTCTTTTACATTATGTGGGAGTTTGTGTACTTTTCTTGTTTGTCTTCGTATGTTTTATGCATTGAGGATAATGTATCTTTTAGGTGTGGGGGAGGAATTTGTGTTTCTTTGAGAATTGTCAATAGTCTATGATGAATTAAATTTTGCGGGTTACATATGACTGTAAAAATACATGTTCATGATCACTCTTAAGAATGTTAGAAACTCATGACCACATCTTTATGCACAACATTCCACTTGACAATGTGTTTGCTTTGGGCTTAAAATTTTAAAATCTTGAATGCTTAATGCATTGTTGTGATCTTATACTGGAGTCCACTTGTCTGAAATCTGGGGGGACTGTAAATCTGGGAGTTAGACTAAGGCAACCATACGCATTATGACAGCCTCGAATCGATCCCATAATGGTTTGTATTAGCCTAAATACCTTAGGAAAAAGGGGAAAGTTGGTGGTTGAATATGAGGTTAAGTACTTTATCTAATGAGGGAGTATAGACAGAGTGTCCAATGTGGCATTTAATCCCTTGAGAGGTGAGGTATGGCACCAAAGAGAGGAGTGTCCTCAGGCCTGGTGAGATTAAATAGAAAATGCTTAGATTACCATAGTTGTTGAAATATGTGCTTGGTATAGGCCTGAGTGAGAAAGATCCAGAAGAAAAGCCAATTTGGACAAATGGATGAAAAGGTA